TTCCCTCCCGCCGTCCGCCCGGCGCTCGGAGGGAAAACGTGCCCGTCGGACGGATTTAAGCGGGTACACGCCTGGAGAAAAACAGGAACGTCGCAAAGAGCGCGCACGCATGTACAGTGCCCAAGTCCGGGAACGGCAAAATGCCGAGCTGCATGCCCTCCGCCAGCAGGTCCAGGCGTTGAGTGTGTACAAATTAATGGTGGACGAGGCACCTGAGATATTTGCCGTCCTCTCTGCGGACAGCCAGGCCAAGGTCCTGTATGCAAACGCAGCTTTCGCGCGTTTTTTCCTCTGCCATCCCGAGAGCTGCGTGGGGAGGAGCATGTGGGAGGTCGTACACCGGGAGGATAAAGAGACTGTGATGGGCGCCTTCGCCTCGGCTGTGATGGAGAAGGAAGAAGTGGGTCGGGCCCGCTGTCGTCTGGGAACCTCGAAAGGACAGGGTAGCAAAGAGGCAGGCGGGGCAGGAAGAGAGGTTCCGGTGGCAGTGTCGGTGCGTAGAGGGACGCAAGGCTTGATCCTTGTGATTCGGCGGGAGGATTGAAGGGGCGAATTCCTGGCTCGGGGAAGAGGGAGGGAAAAAGGAAAACGAGACGATCGGGTACAATTTTAGAGCGATCTTTGCGGTCAAGGCAATGTCAAAAGGGAAGACCTTCACGCGCGAATGGGAAAAAAAAGAGGAGATGATTGCACAATTGCAATACAGAAAAGGGCCGCCGGGGGAGGTAAGCCTAGGAAATGCCCGCAAAAAAGGGAATGCTGCGGGTGTATGTACGGATTAAAAGTAGGAGCTAAAACCTGACGGATAAAGAGCTTTATTCACGTTCATTAAGGGGGGGCCATATGCAGTCATTGGGATTGACACGCATGTTTGAGGCTGTCAAACAACACGAAAGGTAAGGATGAGAAGGGCAGCCAGAATGTGAGATCATTGCTCACGAGGCACTGTGTAGTTGCAAGGGTAACCCGGGCTCGCGCGGGGAAGCAACAAATAGAGGGAAATGGGGTGAGAGAAGGGGACTTCAAAGTAGCGTGACAGAAAGCTGAGATACAATTGAATCTTGCACAACCCACTGGAAAAGGAACTCATTACAAGCACGATGATAACAAAGCTGTGAGATCTTCGCTTGCCCCAGCACGACATCTCTTTGTGACGATTCTTCTCTATCCCTCCTCGTGCCTCCCTCCTTCCCCTCCTCCCTCCGAAAACTGGCTCCCGACCCCACCATCCCCCCGCCACACCCCGCGGAATTCCCTCCATGTCTCCCTTGCCTCCGTCTCTCCGCCCTCTTGCCCGCTTTCCTCGCATCGACCCACCAGGCGCGGCTCCCCCCCAACGTCATTGTCGATGCTCACGCAATAATCCACTAGCTGTCGCAGGGCCGCTACGGCCCAGGGAGTTTCGTGCACAGAGGCCAGCAACACGTCCTCAGGAACTTCCCTTTTGGTGGTCTGGGCCCTCTGCCGGGCGCTGCCAGGAAATTAAGCAAGGGAGGGAAGGAGGGGAGGGAAGGAGGGAGGAGGAACATCAGCCTTCATACCCGACTCACGACGGTCCAATCCCGTAGCCCTCCCCTCGTGTCCTTCCCCGCCTCCGCCCTCGCCCCCGGCCTCACCGGGCCAGCACCGTCTCGCAGCTGGCGGTGACGTGGATGATGGCAATCCGCAGCCCCGGGAAGCGTGCGCGCAGGTCCTGTCAGGCGGTCCGGGTTCAGAATAGGAGCGAGAGCAATTATTGAGGGCATGAAGTAAAGGACAATAGAGTGCGGTAATGCCACGTGGTCGAGGCCAGCACCCATGGTCCGCCCTCCCTCCCTCTCTCCCTCCCTCCTTCCCTACCTGAAAGTAACGGGCATGCCAATCCGCGTCGCGCAAGGATCCTTGGACAAGCACGTTCTTCCCTTCCTTCAACCCTTCCTCCACCACAATCTCCAGCATGTAGCCCGCCTCCCGGTGCGTCAGC